ACGATTCTGTACCGTACTACATCCGAACTTGGAAATTCATTCAGACATTCCACTGTTTCATGGTTGATTCGATTACATTTCTAATTTGCAGACCTCGCTAAAACCTTGACCCTAGCGTTTTTGCACAACATTTTGAAACAGCCTTGCAAAATTCGATAAAAGTAAAGCAAATTGGATTTTAAAAATCAATCAAAGACATTTTGGATAGAGACGTGACATGCGTGACGTGAATGTGTGAATGTATAGACGAAAGACTTTCTTTGCAGTGCGTGTCCACGTCGCTGCGCGAAAAAAAAAACGTTCTCGCAACTAAAATGTACGCTTTGTTATCTTTTTTGAGTTCACATCCCTGGCGACCTCATTTCGAAGTTACAACGTTTAGTTATTTGTTGAAGAGCGGAAGGGGCGGTGGATTTCCAAAAAACGACATTGCGCGAAATGCCACAGTAGTTTGAAGGCAGTGTCTCGGCAGTTTCGTTTCCCAGTTTTTCACCTTTTCACAGCCCTCTCGCCATAAGGAACCCATATCTAGGCCTTTCACCGCATGAAAATGGCAAAAAATGAGCTTTTTTCGAAGCATTCCAGGTCCGCATTCGTAAAGAATACGCGCGACTGGGCGGGGCCGGAACGAAGGAGGCGGAGCGCGAAAAACTCGAACGTATCCCACTGAATGCGGGAAGCTTCGAAAAAAGCTCACTTTCGCCATTTTCATGTGTTGCAAAGCCCAGATATGGACTTCTCAAGGCGAGAAGGCCCCGAAAAGGTGAAAACTGGAAATAGAAATTCTGCCGAGACACCGTCTTTAATGGTTCTTCTCAGGCCTTGCAAGGAATCAAGCGAGATTTGCAGTGCTCAGGCAAAATTTCTCAATGTGTTGAAAAGCGCACACGTCGAGAATGGAAAAATGCGCAGAAAACTGACGTCATAGCCTCTGGGAATAGGAACTTCCGCATCATGTTCCAAAAAGCGTCGCGCAGTTTTCCGAAACAGCGGAATTTGAATGTACTTGAATGCTTTCTCAGAGAATCTTCAAACGCTGCGTAGGCTCCCCAAACAGTTCAGAGTAGTTCAGATGACTTTAGGCGCTCAAATTCTGCCATCTAACCCACTGACGATGACGCCTAATTTTGCATGGCGCCGCTATGAAACGACGCGATTTTGCACAACACTGGCGGGAAAATTTTGTGTTTTTAAATGCAAGGTAGTTTTTAAACACCTAAAAACATTTTTTTAAACTACGGAATGCATGTCCCAAAAGTGCAAAAAAAATTAGAGAAATTCAATCTCTGGAAGAGATACTAAACCTAAAAGGATATTTTGCAAAAGGTGTGGGCCACCAGTGGTTAAATTTCTGGAAAACCGCTGGGAAACATCCGCAGTGCCCCGGCAACCTCCCTGGAAGTTCTGCGAGACATCTTGAAGCGCTGATTCCAATTCTGCATTCGGTGTCTGCCGTGCGCTCTTCCCAAAGAAGTTATGACCTTTTCCAAAATTTTACTTACTATTGTTTTTGTTATAGTTTTTATGAAACGCGCACTACAAAAGAGTGTTCAAATAAAAAAAGGGCTTAACGTTAAGAGTAGAAGAACTCCGATATATCAAAGTCTAGAAAGCCTGGAAACCTGACGATTTTGACCGCCTAAACGTTGTGAAATCGATATGGAAAGAAGTCCTAACTTCATTGAGAGAGGCGCACAGCAGACAATGAACATAAGTCTAGAAAATCAGCTTTTCAGGCGCATCTGTTTGTGTACATCTCACTGCAAAAAGCCACGGTCATCAAGGACCCTTCCCTTGTTTTTGATTACAGCGCAAATAATTTTTAATCCCAAAAACGAAACCTTGGATGATGAGCTGAAAATTTCAGACTGCTGCCGAGCCATTTCTGACATTGTTCCTTTTTGTTATTAGTTTTCATGAGGCTCCTTAGCAAGCAGCAACATGATAAATACTACTTTTACAAGGTTGTCCCAAAAGACAACCGTATTTCTGAATAAATATAAACCAAATGTTTTTGTTTTCCTAGCAGACTTAGGGTACCATTCGATAGAGCGAAGCAAGCTCTACAAAGTGACCACCAAAGATCCGCCTAAGTCATAATCCAGGTAAAGTTTGGAGCAAGAATCGAAAAAAAAATTATAACATGAAAGGATTTTTGCGAAGAAAAAACCTACGGACCTTAAACTTGGTCATTATACAGCAGACACATAGTAGTACTTAAATATGTCTTTAATGGATTTCTTCCGCGCATAGAAAGCGAGGAAAAAGTCCAAGAATGGCAAACTCTGCCAGCAGCCTCTCACACACGGATCATTCCATACTAGAGGCCTTTTTAAGTATAGTTTGAAATTTTACCTCTGTTTCTTTGATGATTGAGAAATACCAAGCGCAAGAAGAACCCAAAAAAGCGGCATTTTGGCATTTTGGACCATCTTTGTTTCTCAATTTCGAAACCGAAGAAAATCCCAAATATTTTTTGGGTACTACTATGTGCCTACTGTATAATGACAAAGTAGGAGATCCGTAGGAATTTTCTGTAAGGAGATCCAATTTTTAGATAGTTGAAAATTTTTGATTTTCGGATCAATTCTACCTGGATCACGACTTAAGGTCCGGGCATACTTCACGCGATTTCAGTCGCGATGCGATTTGGCAATTCGCCAGAGTCTTCATATCCAACATTAGCATTCCGCACATGCATAGTGTGCATAACTTACGTGAATTGATAAAATGCCCTATCCTCTGTACGTTTAAGATGTGCTCACAGTGAGTTGTGGACAGTTGGAATATTGCCAAGTCGCGTCGCGACTGAAATCGCGTGAAGTATGCCCGGCCCTTTAGGTCCCGGACAGACTTCACGCGAATTGATCGTCGCGACTCAATCGCCGACATTTCCATTCATTTTCATTTCACATTCAAAAATTTCGGGCTGGAAAAGTATAGGGGCGGGCATAGTTCACGCGATTTCAGTCGCGACGCGACTTGGCAATATTCCAACTAATTATAACTCACTGTAAGCACATTCCAATTGTACAGGAGGTAGGGCATTTTATCAATCCACTTAAGTTGTACACACTATGCATGTGCGGAATGCTAGTGTTGGATCTGAAGACTTCTGGCGAACTGCCAAATCGCGTCGCGACTGAAATCGCGTGAAGTATGCCCGGCCCTTATCACAACCGAAATGCAAGTTGATCGGCATGGAATGATGTTGTAACAGTTGTCTCGTCGCGATTCAGTCGCGACGATCAAATCGCGTGAAGTCTGTCCGGGGCCTTAGACGGATCTCTGGGGGTCATTCTGTAGAGCTTGCTTCGCTCTATCGAATGGTAGCTTAAGTTTGCTAGGAAAACAAAAACATTTTATCTATTTAGAAATACGGTTTACTTTTCGACAAACTGATACAATGTACTCATTCCAAGAGTGGTACCCACCCAATCTGAGAGTCTGGGCTTATTATGCGGAACTGATTAGGAAATCTCAACTAGAACATCAATCGAACGATAACTGATATGAATCATCCTTAGCCCATAAATCCAGCTCCAAACCTCATCTAGGCTGTAGTTTCGAGCAAACCAGTTAGCGCCCTCGAGAAAGAAGTAGGGTCCGTAGGTGAGCCCAAATGTGTCTGTCGGTCATGATCGAATACAAGCTGCCGTTTGGGTAACGGCTTACTCAAGACGGCACTCAAGAAAAAATATCAACTGTAGCCCCACTGACAGGAAGAGCATTGATAAAATAAGTTCCCTAGACACTGCCTTCACAACTATATGAAAGCGATTAGGAAAGCGGCGTGAGCAAGTACCAAATATTTTATTTTTCAGGTTACAGTAAACTGAATATCGAACAATGTGACCCGACGGCATCGCACATGAAATGCTTTACAATGGCTCAAACGGTAATCACAGAGAGTGAAAATCTACTATCAATTCAATTACAAACACCATATATCTATCCTGTACATCTGCGAGTTATATTAGGTCGTTCCGAATGTAATGTCGCTTTTTTTAAACGTACGTCACTTCTCGAGGAGCAAAGATCTGAAGAAGATTCTGGTAGCATTTGATGCAGCATTTCATTCTCTTTCTAATGGTTGTATAAACTCTGCACAATATTCAATATCCTCTCGAAAAATTATAAAAATCGGCGACCCATGCTTTTTGAGAGGGCGAAGTTTCACAATTTTTCTAAATTTTTACAACAACCCTCGGAAGGAGTCCAAGTAATGGATGGATAGAGCAAACCCTACAGAAAACAGCACAACTTTTTTCTACTTTCCAGAGCTTGTCATAATTTTTGTATAGATTTTTTGATGGAACCACCGAATTTTAGCAGGCCTGCCTCAGACACAAATGCAACAAACACCAATAAATCTTCGGATTTTGAAACTTACAAAGATGGATTATGGTTTGACACTAATTTTGCAAAGCAAATGAGCGTTTACCGCTTCAGATTAGCAACTTTCGAAAACTTTGGGTAAAGCCTGGGGCGCCCTGGAAAACCTGAATTATGATGATTTTATCCCGGAAAACTTGATGAATCGGAAACGAAAAACAGCAGATAGAAAGAGGAGGAAAAGCTGCGTCGAATGACACCCGAGTTGCTTGCCCATTGTTGTTTTGTGAAGCTTGAGTTGACCAAATATGGAATCTGATACCATTGAAAAATTGATTCCAGAAGATGTAAGAAGCAAGCTAAGGGAAAGAAAAAATTGCTTTATGTCCTATAGGGTTTGTTCTATCTACCAGTCACTTGTACTTCTTCGGAGGATAAGTTCAAAAATTTAGAAAAATAGCCGAAGTTGACCATGACAAAAAGCATGAGTCGCAGATTTTGGTGATTTTTCGAGAGCTCATTGAATATTATGCAATGAAATTACAACCATTAGAAAGAGGATGAAATGCTGTATCGAATGCTTTTAAGATCTCTTGAAAATGTTGATTCCACGAATAGTGGCGTTCATTCGAAAAAAGCGACATTACTTTCGGAACGACCTAATATTTAAAAAAATGCAGTTTGGTTTAAAGGCAGATGCGGCACTGTCAAACGAGAATCATCTTCAAGGAACCTTAGATATTTGAGAAGATTTCCAGGTAAGGGTAAAGTCATGGTGAAAGTGGAGATGTTCTTAGATCCCAAAACAAACGGCTACAACTCGATTACTAGAAAACAAAGATTAGAGCAGAATCACCCCATAAGTGCAACAAATTATCTAAACGGTACAAACTTGGACTATAAGGCTACGTATCCAGTTGATGTACATCACTCGGTACAGACATTAGCCCATTTTTAAGTAATTTTGCAGGATTAAAAACTAGAAATTTTGAAGCCAGAAACAGGAAGGGATAAAAGAAAGAATAAAGCTCATGGACTTCGTCGTGGAGAAGACGAATCATTCGAAGAATAACTCCTTGTTATACGGGGTGCCGCAAGATCTCCTTCGTCCTGATCTTCCCGATCTGGAGAGGGTGAGTTCGATCTGGATACCAGCTCTTTGAGTCGCCCGCCAAAGTACTGGAACTAATTTTACTTTACTAATTACTTTATTCTACTTTTGATTTCCAATTTATTCAAAAAGGGGCAAGAACTGGATATATTTACATACATTTAATCGTCCATCCCGATGGAATGTGTCCAAGAAATCTCGAATAAAGTCGTCTGATCGGCTTTTCCAGTTGTTGATAAACTCCAAACCCTTCTCCTTCAGACTGTCGACCTTATTCTGTATTTGATACTTGCTGGCCTAGAACAACACGGATTTGCCCTCTAGAAAAAAATTTGAGTAACAGAATTAGTAACCCTAAAATTCCATGAGATTTCCTTCTAGGCTCAGGCAAATCTAAGCCTGGATTTTTTGTGGATATTGACGAGATGTCCTTAACCAAATTACTGAGCCCAGATCTAACCCAGACCGTACGTTATGCCGTACTCGAGATCTGCGCTTGGCTCGGTCTGAAACCTGCGGTTTGCGGTGAATCTCTTAGCCACAACAGCATCTGTTCTTTCTCAACTTCAAAACCATTCTTTGTCTGTCTCTTTCGGGAAATCCCACCTACGACTTATGATTCACAGATCATTGATTTAATGCCGGAAAACACTTACTGCTAGGAAGCCAACGTTCAGTTCTTTGGCAGAATAGCCTCGTTTCAGATTTCTGCGGACATATTTGTCGTAATCACGGATGATCCGACATACTACATCGCTTGTTGACACACCTTCCGTACGCTGAGTCTCGATGAACATTTCTGAAAAGTTTCCAAATTTTGGTGTAAGGCTACTAAATCAATCGTACCTTCTCTCCTGAACTTCTCATATAAATCTTCTTCTCCGGGTGCTACATACGGTATAGCATCATGAGCAATGAAGTCAACCTAAACTACTATTATTTCTTAGGATTTCCAGGTATACCCAGCAGGGTTGAAAATCTTTTGGTGCAACATTAAACAACCCAGAAATGCAAAATCTCAAAGTTAAGCTTCACAAAAATATTCGCACGTTGATCAGGGGATGATTATCAATGCAGGACATATAAGGCCTATTCTTTGGAGTTATGTTTGGTGAGTACACAATATGGAACAAGATCTAGGTCTTGACGATGGTCTTTGGGTGATCGTTATCGCTTATAGCATACCGTATACCTATCGTAATCCAAGGAAAGGGCCTATAGCCTATAATGCAAAAAATATGATAGTTTGCACTTCAAATCGTATAAGGTGGCTTGTTACCACTACTTTCTTCCCCTTCTTTTACTCAACCCACCTTCAATTCTTTCAAAAACTCCACCGTACAAAACCATGGGGCATCACGATAGACTTCGTCCACATAACGACAATGTCGCACCCCTTCGTATCGCTCTTCTTCCGATGTTACTGTGCGACCTTTGTACTTGTGGGTGCTCTTATCGCCACACACTTAAAACACGCCATATTGCAACACATATGAGCAAAGAATATTTGATCACGGAAATCACCTCCAACTATGAGGTAGACGTTAGGAAATGCTGTTTTGCATTGCCTTAGTTGATTTGCATGCCCATGATGGAACAAGTCGTAAATGCCATCAGCATAGATGCGCACGGGCCGGCCAGCTAAAATATAATTTTGAGGACATTTTCGCCGTTCGTGGATCATGATGGCCGTCAGAAAATTTTACAGAATTTCATAGAACTAGGCTGATTGGAAGTTAGAGTCTGCGTTCTCGTTGTAGTGGAGAAATTTAGCGATTGTGCGGAGAGTCAAGACTAACGTCTCGTAAATAGTTTGGAAAATACAGATTCATGCCAAAACAATGGAACTTCATTCCTTCATAGTATCAATAATTTCTTCTTCCGCCATATATGTATTATGAGACAATTTAGTTTCAACTGACCTTACCGACAACTTTACTCTAGATGCTCGAAAAAAAAAAACTACATAAAATTTAAATTAAAGGTAAATCTATTCCATATTCATAACACCTCAAGTATTTTGATGTCACCGACAAAGCCTCAGTTACAAAAAAAGCAAACTGGATGAAATTACAGATCGCAAAGAAATTATGCCAACTTGAGATGGAAAATACGAAAAAGGCAAGCTTGAAACTTGTACAACTCAAAAGAAATGTTCTTGGCCGAGTCACCTGTATTAGCTCTAGCCATTGCAAGTGTGATCTTCTTTGTGTAGTCAACTCGATTTCTTTCTGCAATAGCAGCTTCTTCATCGCTATATGGGGCTGGTTCTCTTAGTGCCAGTGGCATTGACTCCTAAATAGCAAATAAAACAATTCATTGTCAATACCTAAACACTTCTGTAGTATATAATTTAAAAAGCTTAAAAACCTGAACCTTTTTCGCATCAGTTTGAATGAGTTTCATGACTCTTCCGCTATACGACAATCTATAAAATGAATGAACTCTAGCGAGGTACGAAACCAAATAAACACTGGATTCAGACTGACTTGCTGAGACATAGAAAGTCTGGAAGTTATTATAGAACATGAATATTTCATGTCGTTACGAGATCACCATCAGCATGGAAAATTTACAAATATTATTCTGCATGTTCTTGATGAAAGAAATGCTGCTATGCGTGTGAGCCTTCCATTTTGTCAGATCTAGCGTTATCGCGCCTTGCAATCGTTTTCTTCCACATCTAAACTTGAAGTGACGACATGCGCGTGGGCTTTCCAATTTAGCGAATGTGGGCTTGTTTTCACAAGCGATTTGCCAAATCACGATCTTCGCTAGAGGGAAAACTTTTCTTGTGATATTTACAAGATTCGCAAAGGAAGTGAAGGTAATGCAAGTCATGCAAGCTTATCATCACATTATTACTACATTACTTTTCTTAGTAAGTCGTTTAGACTGGGCCTAGGACGACGTGGTGATTTGTTATTTGTTGCTGTTGTGTTCCATGTATGACTAACACTTTATTGTTTTTGATTTGGAACGCCTCGAGCGTATGAATGAAATGAAATGAACAGAAATAAATCAATATTCCAATTGTCCATAACTTACAGCGAGCACATTTTGAATGTACAAAATTTAGGGCATTTTATCAATCCACGTAAGTTACAAACACTATATATGTGCAGTTTGTTAGTGTTGAATCTGAACACTTCTGGCGAATTGCCAAATCGCGTGAAGTATGCCCGGCCCTTTAGTGGCATTCTTTTACGCACAGATTGCACAAATGGAAGCCATAGGAGAGAATTACGTTTTTTTTTTTCAATGTTTGCGAGAATTTGAGACTCGCAATATTCGGAGCTGTCGTGCGATAAGTACTATGATCCATTCTTTCTGACTGAGCAAAGCCTGTGCTGATTCAACGTTTCTACAAAAGGTTATGATTTTCAAGCAAGCAGGATTAAAAAACAAAACTGAGTCAATCTACTGCTATTATCTTTGCATCATGTGAGAATAGAAAGCCGCTAGGGTACGGTTGCAAAAAGATCACCTCCTAATTTAAATAAAAAACCATGTAAATCCTTCGCAAAATCAGAAACTATGAATTTTTGAGAATAGTGGCATATCACCTTCGTACAAACCTGATGCGTGGACGGACCACGACACAACCTTAGACCCTGGTCATACCTCAGGCCTAAAGCATACCTCACGCGATATGATTGAATCGTGATTTTCACGCGACTTGGCGTTTTGCCAAATTTTCACAAATCCATCGTGGGCGGTTTCCAAATGCATGGGAGCGTAGTTTTGTAAGTTCTTGCAAAACGGATCAGGTCTTGTTCAAACACAGTGCGGTAATGACCAATTACTGACAGTCGCTTCTGTGCTGAATCGCGCAGCGACTGAAATCGCGTGAGGTATGCTTGCGGCCTTACATGGTTTTATTGAACCCGTCAGAAACTTAAATAAAGCTTTATCCATGAAAAGCTTGGTCAATAATTTGAGGGATTATCGATCATGTCCCTACTTCATGTTGCTTTGTCACTGCTGCGATGCTAGCGTTTTTGTAACCATTAGTCATGGTTCCAGATCTCCTGGGAATACCCAGACCGCTCCCAGAAACCAATCAAAACTAAAGCTAGAATCTTGTCAAAGAAAAATCTGTCTCGGTCCAAATGCGCACAAAAAGAACAGCCGCGTGGGCCACAAAAATTCAAAAAACATACCTCAAATGTCGGCCGTTTGGTTGGTACCACACCATCAACATCTGATGCAGTACGTTTACGTAAGGTAGCCATTGAAGATCAAAAAGGAGTCGTTTCCAATGACAGTGAGCAATTTCTCAAATCTGGAATTTTTTCAACAAACTTCATATCAGTTATGCATCGCATTTTCGTGCATAAGGCCGCAGCGAGCGACGATGATAAGTGAGAGAAGAATGTGCAACAAAGGCTAAAGATATAACGTTATTTTGCACCTAAATTTATATATTGTACATATTCTGATGCAACATGCCTCTAGAGCATAATCGCGCTTCAAAAACGGTTAGGCACTCTCAATTCGGTATTTGAGTTTCCCTAAGCAAAAAGTAATGGAGTTCTTGATAAGTCACTGCTCAAGCGGTAGCTCATATGATTTACTCTGTGGCCGGATAATTCGACTCCAGCCCATACCGTACCTTCTCACAGTACCCGGGCCATTTTGTCTGCTAGGAGATAGTACAATCTAAACTGGTGCCCGAAATTGAATTCTCTAACAGCATTGAATCACAAGTGCTGCCGTTCGTTATAGAGGCTTCGGGCATTTCTTCAATAAAAAAATTTGTTACCATCAATGCTTAGACCTTATCTCAGTAAGTTTCTGACTAAACTTGAACTTCTATCATTTGACCAAATGCAGTTCAACTGTACAATGACAATCAACGAACATTTCACTTACAGGGGAAAGTTCCCAAGTCAGCTCGGCCAACCCGGATGGGTCATATATCACCGTAACGGGCTTGAAACGCTGATTCCAAATCTGCTTTCCTTTTCTGCAAAGCGACTTTCCAGGAGAAGTTATGAGCGTTTAAATGTCTAAATTTGTTATGTTCAAAGTGGCTTAAAATCACTTGAAACCTGTAAAACAACACCTAACGAAATTTCATTATCTGTATTCCGTCCTTGTAATCAATATACTTGATACAAAACTGATAAATCACTTTCATGTCTTATTGTACAGGTTTCGCCAATTTTAAGCCACATAAATCATGACAAATTTGGATTTTTAAACGCTCATAACTTCTCTCGGAAAGTCGCTCCGCAGAAAAGGAAAGCAGATTTGGAATCAGCGTTTCAAGCCCGTTACGGTGATATATGACTCATCCGGGTTGGCCGAGTGACTTGGGAACTCTCCCTCGTCAGCTACGTGGCCAAATATCCGCACGCGCCATGCCCCTTCCGCATTTCTCACGCGCAGAAATGCCTCAAAAATAAATCATTTGTTTTGTCTGAGCCCTAACGCAGCTGGAAGGGGCACACACAGAAGAAGATATGAAAACCAAACGTCGAAAATTTGCCTAGAGACTGCTTCAAGGTCGCGACAATAATGAAGTATTCTCTCTAGCAATAACAGGGGATAATAAATGAAGTGCAAAAATTGGCAAACTCGTTTCCGAAAGGGTATGGAGACAAAAAAATTGTTCCATCTTGATATAACATACAACATGAAGCGTTCTTTTTTACAGCAAGCCACATAACTACCGAGCATCGAAAAAAAAATGTACTCATTTTCAGATAAGTGATGATAGGAGGAAAGGTAGGAAACAACTAATCATGGCTCTTATCTGAGGAGTTCGATGGATGTCGATCACAATTTAAATGCCGATACCAATTTTTCTGGCGTAAAAAGACTTGTCGATTCTTGTGCACTTGTACAAAAGAAACTTACAACAAAGTTTCAGAATTTTCCTAATCTATGCCACTTGGTATTTTGGAAACAGATCTCCGGGCCCATCTAGATGATAGGTCCAAAAAATAGAGGTGCCAGATGATAATGAGAAGAGACTAAATATGATAAAGGAGAGAGGCAAATTTTAAGAGATGCTGAGACTCATAAAGTTGCGATAAAAGAAAAACTAGAGAGTCTAATGCCACCAATAGCAGAACATTCATGAAGCCAAACCAACGTCAGTGGTACGCAAGCATCATAAAGACAATAGACAAGTTTATGTCTATTTTTTGTATTGTGTCTATATTGCGCTGACGCATAAGAACAATGAGGTATCAAAGACTATCCTGTTCAGCAACAGTGAGACTGCAAATTCTTATCATGAAACTAATCTTCTAGCACAGATTGAAGCAAGCTTGCATCACATGTGAGAAAGAATTATTGCATGGCACGAAGAGTTTCTCCGCGCTTCTTTCTAACGTTATGAATCACCTCCAGAAACATCCAAGGGGGAAGGAATGAACCGAGAGATGTGTACCTCAACTAAAGACACCTTTGTCGACCTTAGCATAAATAACACGACCAGTCCTCGGTTGTATTGTCTCGAGAAAAAATGTACAAACAGAGAGATACAACAATCTGCGCATGAATAACAAAAGGTGCAAAAGGACTTGTGATAGATGGACCTTTTCACAGGAGAATGCAAACAAAAAGCTTGCAATTGGAGCTGAAAAAAAGGTATTCATGTAACTACTATAATAAAGCATGAATGATAAGTTTGTATGTACAAAAATTTGCACATCTGCTAAAAATCCAATAATAAATCCCAAAATTTGAAGGAAAAGACGAGAAGAGAAAAAAAATTGAAAAACGCAATCTTATATCTATTTTGGAGACGTCTGAGAATGTCTGGATTGCATGACACGATTATTTTATTTACTTTTCGCACAATAACGCCAATTTTCAAAGGTCTTGACCATATGCAAAAAAAAGTAGAGTGCGATAACACCACAGCTTATCGCTTTCTACTCTCGATATCGCATCATATGGGATGGGTATAGGTCAGCGAGTGATATCCACCACTAAGAAACCAGTTTGCTAAACTTTCTTAGAGCGAATGCATATCCTACTTCAGACGGAAAGTCTAAAGTTATCCTTTCTTGTATGAGAGTCACAAATAACTTTCCACTTCCTCATGGGCAATATTTTCTTGTTGTGTCCAAGCAAAATCTAGGTGTTCAAACTTTGTATGTTTACTGATTGGGATGGTTTAGCTGAGCCATTGTTCAAGAAGCAGCTTGAACCAGTCTTGAAGAAACCAAGAAATTTGACTTCAAAATTCGCTCCAGGCCTTACTTGGAGCCGATAGGTCGGCTCGGAGAGGTACGGTCTGGGCCGCAGTTTGAAATCAATTTTCACGACCAAGGAATACGTATGAGTTTTTGAGCAAGCGTTTAGCTAAAACCCTCAATCTACTTCTATATAAAAACCCATGTAAGGGTTCCACTTTCTTGTACGTTAGTTTTGGAGTCCCAAACATTTGATCTGCACGATAAGTTATAGGTTATAGTCAACACATATAGCAGAAGTCAGGTGAGTCGCCGACAATGACGACAACGTAAGGTTATCTGTAGATGTTCTATGATCTGATACTGATGTTATTCTGCCAGTCGTTCTGCAATAGTGAAAAAGAATTTATGACCAGCTTGCAACACCCCTTCTAAGGCCTTGCATTTGCTCTGATCGAGCAATTTCGCCAGCTGATCGTCTTCTCTGATCATGCAAGCAACTTTTCACGACAACGCAAATAGATAACGAGCTAAGCCGATCCAAAAAAACTAAACCAAGGGAAGAATGAAAAGTAAGCATATAAGAATGATAAAGTTTCGTCTTTCAGACTACAAGTCACACTAAACTATACTTTCCATTAACTAAAGACTAAGTCTATCGATGGTGCAGGAAAGGAAAACTAATTATCTTGTAGCTTGTATCCAAGGAATCGATCAGACTAGCTAATTTCAAGATGAAAAGCACTGGTGCTTTATTTTCTCGAAAACGTTTTACGATTGGCAACTAGCGTAGGATTGACGCAGATTCTTTCAAAATGTGAACTGCAACTCATGACTCACATGAAGAGAACGTAACTTGAACAATGTTTTGGTTCTGAACGATCAATTCTCAGATATAGCAAAGAATCAAAGACATTGACCAAAGCAGATGAAGATTATCACTGGAAAAAGACATTAAAAAATACTACAACAAGATTCCATATTTACATTCTAAATAACAAATTGTGTATGTTCAAAATGAATTATTCAGGTTAAATAAGAACTACAACCACAATAGTGGACGGGTATCTAAGGGCCAGCCAAAGCGTGTATACGTGTAGATTTGATTCACCAAAGTTGCAAGAAAAAGTGCTAACGAATCGCTTTGTGAAATATAACACCAAACTTCAGTACCTCGTCTACAACTGACGTCTCCAGTAAAAAAATCAACAGATGTGGACGATGCAGAAGACATTTGGAATAACCACGTCGGTAAAATGAGAAAAAATGACTCGATGTGATTTCTAGCAAAAGTATAAAAAAAGCCCTGCAGTAGACACTTATACTTGGAACTCAAAAACTAGATAATCTCTGGTAAACTCAACCATCGATGCCGAAACAAGCTGCTCAGAAAGTTATACACTGAGCATTTCGCGGTGCAAAAAAATATTTTCTCAATAACTTTCTCAGAAGCATTCGTGCATGAAGAACAAACTTGCAAGCAACACTCGTTGACGCAAAAATCTGTTTCTGCTACAGTATAAAAAAAGAAAAAGAATTGTGAATAATCGCGCCAACATATCAATGCTATACCAATGTTAATCCCTGCCCCTCTTCTAAACGAGTGTCCTAATAAAGAGCAAAAAGTTTTGGTCAGAAGAGGGCAACGATTTAGAGCATGAACAGACCGCCCTAGCCAATATCGTGGGTGCTTGTGGAGCATTTTCAAATCTATCTTAACAAAAGACCAGATAATGGATAGAAGAGGAATCGAGGATCCACTGGGATCTTATACTCAAAGCATGGAAGGGTATCATTCATTCTATGACTAGGAGACGCGGGACCACATTGCACGCATTGTCTAAACAAGCCCAATCGTGTACTTATCAGGTTTATACTTGACATATATCTCGTCCAGATTTATTTTCTCTTTGGAAACAGGCAAGAACAAACTCGAACTTGTTAAGACAATATCCGCAATGCGGTCTCACGTCTCTTAGTCATAGAATAGATGATCTCTTAGTCATAGAATAGATGATAGTGTTTTGAGTAAAGTTGGGGATATTGAGATTATGACCAACTATAGCGGAGCTCCGATACCGAATCTTGCCACAGGAGGTCTTAACCAAAAACGAGAGAAGGTAAAAAAACAGGCAACGAGCACACTTTTCGAGTTTTTATTCGCCCAAGGCAATTTCTTACGCACAAGTTTTGCCGGCACCGTAAGCAACGTACCTGTTACTTTTATTGTTTCAAATGTTCATCAAAATTATTAGGAAAAAAGGTCATTTACTTCACAACAATGAAGAAGTTCTTTGGGCTGTAACCCCTAAGTGAACTATGGTAACTTCCCTTGTCAAACTTGCATGAGATGTTGCGAATAAGACGACTGACAAATGGTTTTTCTAATGGGACTGCCTGCAAGCCACTAAAAATGCAAAGCGGATATAGCTAGCGACAAGGCAGCCAAAAAGTGTACAAGAACTCAGAGCAAGCCATCAAAAATCGATGAGCGCCAGAGTGAAATAAACAATCGAAAATATCATATTGCGTTAGCGAGCGAAGTTCAGGAAGAGAGCAGACGATTGAGAGAACCGATAAATTCAGCCATGTAGACGTTAAAAAAAACAAATTTATGCGTCTTTTAACGTTTGGATGCTGTCCGTATAATAAAGGAATTAATAGAAACGATCAAAAGTGCTGCCGAAATATAAAGAAGTTGTGAATGATATTGATCAACTTGGATTACCATCATGTAGCAAAAAATCAACATTGACATGAATGGCACATGATGTGACACGCACAATAGAGAAAAACGAAATCAAAAGGACAATTAAAAGCGACGAATTTAATGTCTGCACACTTATAAATGACTCATTGCATGATGTCTAAGAAACAAAAACGACTTGATGTCATAGGGACGAAAACCAAATAAAAAAAAAACCAAAGTGAAAAGCAGATTCTGCACCGTGCTGATGGGACTTAATCACAAGGGAGACAGCTAATCAGCTATCATTAATTCTCAATATCTCAAAAGAAAACCAGACCTTACAAGAAGGAGTGACTGGACGTCAAAAGATTTAGGAGCTAATCTTTGCTCTAAAATCATGCCATCAAAGCCGCGAAACAGCGCACCACCCTGATAAAAGCTGCGAGCGACGAATGCAACAAAGTACAACGAGAAGCCGTAATTGCGGCCTACAGCGCAGACTACGTCAAAGTCATGGCAAGCGCGGCGAGTAGAAGTTGATAGCTTCTTTTGACATTTCAAAGCTGCATTGGTTTCAACGTTGGATATAAGTGAAAATATTAGTAGTGAGACCAAACTTATGAAAAGGAAGACATTTAGCATGCACAATGTACATAAATAGCGCGGAAAGCGCATTCAGCTATATTATTTGCACTTAACATGTCAAAAGGAGAATTTCGAAACATTTTGGCGTATGATTCACTTTGCCAGAACATTTACATGTTACATGGATTTACATGGACATTTACATGGAAGCACTATTCATTCCGTCGCTTCGGGTAGAACTTCTGCTTTCAGTAATTTTGGGTCAAGGCAGGGCAATGATTGATTGGGAATGCGATCATCAAGAAATGACTATCTGTTCTCTCTCCTAGGAGAGCAAAGAATTTCTCCGTTACTATCGTACGCATGAGTTATGCTAGAAACCGAAAGGTCTAGCCTAGAAAAGGATTGAGAACCTCTTTTCTTAGGGATCTGCCATGGAGAAATGATCTACAAGCTATAGCATTGATTAGAAACTCTTCGATATGCCAATAAAGGAAGGGCTCAAATTCATTGTTGTGGATTCTGGAAGGTTGCATGACCAAAACACAAAAGAATAACCATTCATTTGGCCACTTTGGAAGTCCTATCATTTTAATCTTCCTTTCCACTGTCTTTTGAAGTAAAATTACTTACCCAGCACGATCAGGAAAGGAAGACCTCAAGATAGGAACTTCACCTCATTTTGACATCCCACGAGTTCCCTGAGAAAAAGTGTAAATTGCCAAAGTGATCTTAAAGATTAGTGGTTTAGTAGAATGTCTGTACAAGTTCTAGACAGTTCTAGACACCTGCAGGCAGGTCGTATCATGCTAAAAAAATTGTACCATATGATAACGGACCCTATAAGTAAGAAAGCCCAAGTCTAGTCCATTATTTGATATGAAAAACAACGAAAAATACTCCTGAATCCGCTTGCACTGACCATTTGCTAGTTTGTGTTTTCTGAAGTACAAAAATCTTGATGTACGGCAGTGGGTTCCAGAAAATTTTTTCGTAAATTTTTCCAGACAGTCCCGACATTCCCCAAGAATTTTCGAAGTTCTCCTGCACTGCTCTCTCTACGGCGTCCAAATTAAGAGCGATCTTGACGCGCATTCCTCCGAACCTACTCCGCCGAGCTTACTCGCCTTATATCGATCATATCAATATCTTACATGTGAAATGGTGCTATCCTCACCTAGATAGGTATATACTCTCCATTGCTGCCAAGATAGATAGGATATTTATTAATCGAGCAGCTTCCGATGTTTATCGAAAAACTCTACTGCACATTTTTGAAAATTCCAACACAACGTCCGCAAGCGCACCACACCACGATGCGCCGTTTCGTCACTGTTTTCATATGAAGTTCAGCATGCGAATGTCATTGAAGTTCATGTCTGGGAATGTTCTTCATAATCCTTTCTTGATTTTTTATGTGTTTAACTTATGCTGCTTCCATTGAAAATGGAACAAATTGACTCAGAACTTGAGTGTGCTCACATGTCACGTTCGTGCTTTCATGAAAACTCGTCTTTCCTTATTAACGACTCCGTAATAGATTCTGGAATGGACATTTTGAAGGGTATGCCATTTATCCAAAATCGAAGCGCCTTCCTCCAGTCGAAAACAAATGATGGTCGAACGGATGTGGGAGATGGAGGAGATAAATGTAAAGTTTCAGTATGTGTGAAGCTAGGACATAGTAAGAATTCATATTCGTTTGTACATTATCTGTTTGTAGACTATCCTGGAACGTCTCGTGGGGAACCGTCTTCTAGTGGATTAAGTGGACTACGAATGCCTGGAAATGTAACACCGCCTATCGGTGCGGTAGCCGAAGATCCTCTTGCTGGCGCTTTATTGGGACTAGCTGAGTATGTGCATTTCTTATTTTTCTGCTATGATACCGGGTTTATAGTCAGTTGCTGGTGAATCGGCGTTGTGCTCTTCAATGCCTGAAATCCATGATCTCTTGAACTTTGAATCTTTTCGTAGTTGAATACCATACGAACTTGTTACTGTGGGCCCAGTATTAGAAGTTTCTAGGTTCGGCCTCGTAGCAAAACATATTTCAAGCGCAACCATCTTCTCAAGTAATCGATTATATCAGCTCGTGCACACTTCCAGAGTTTAAAGTCGGAGATGTGACAACACAACCTAGTTTTTTTGCTTTTCGAAAAGTACAAATTTTCCACACTTTTGTGGTATTTGCATGTTTTATCCACTCTAGCTGGAATCCTTGCTCCTTTAACTAGATACGATAACATGCTTTTAATAATAATGGGATATGGAAAAACTGAACTTTTTTTACTAATAACATTTTACCCTACAACGCGCGCGCTTCTTGTGTCATAACTACGTCTTGCGTGTAATTTTGGGACGTCCTGTTAGTGTATGTGCATGAGATTATCATTTATTTAGCGTTACGACAAAGCTTGCAATCGCCCATCCATGTATGGTACTACGCCGACAATGTCAAGTGCATCAGAACGCTCGATCTTTACATTTGACTCCGTTTACACTTGTGCCTGTCGTTTGCAATATGGTATCAAACGAAGTGAGTTTGATGATGTTTAGTGCTTCCTTGGATTTTTTATACTTTCTGTCCTTATCCCATTCCGAATTTTAACTTTTATAACATGGTCAGCCGAAGTCAGCTTCTACTTTCCATCTACCACTTTTTAATGCGAATATTTCCCTTTTTATAGCGATTGACTTCCCTCATAAACGACAAGATTTTCTGCTTTGAGATTGATCGAAAGTCATTATTGATTCAGTTTCTGTTGAAGTATTTCTGAGTAAGAAGGTCTGCAAAATGTAGTTATAGCGCTGTTGCAACTGTCGACTTGCGCAAAGCATTGTGACCTTGCTAGCTTTCGAAGGAATTCTAGTGTCAGCAAATTTTGAATCTGTGTGAGATTAGCATACCGAATGAGTCTTTTTTTTTTCAGGGCGTTTTAACTTTTTGGAAAGGATCGATAGGATCGTGTGTGCTTTGGGGTCTTTCAAATGTTACAGAAATTGTACTCGCCGACTTGCTTGGCTTACCAAGGTACGGCACATAGATCAAGTAACAACTTAGACAACTTGGAAAATTATTTTAGGCACATCGTAGCGAATGGAAGCAGCGAAAAATATTGGAAGCATATTATCCTGAAAGCGTGAGTTTTTCCGTCGGACTTGTGCATCTCAAGTTAACATTTTCGCATTACAATTTTATCTCCGTCAGTACTGGCTGATCATCACCACAGACTGATCGATGAACACGAATTTTTTGAATGATCATTTTCAGCGTCACTGCTTTCACTATGACACCTTTCTACATTTCGACTTTCACTGAAACAGTGCGGGTAAGTATATCGTCGTCGAAATGTGTTTATCTGCAACTTTTTTTTACAGAGTGAGGCAGGGTTAGGTGGTGAAGGACCAAACGTTACGGATATATTGCTGAAAGGTATCGATAGACTGAGGTAGGAAGTCAAGCCTAATTATTATCCACTATTTAGAAGCTTCATTCAGGTACCCAATATTCGGCTCTAGAGACGCCTCTCGTAGATTTTCGGTCTTACATTTGGCTATGCCAACTGTGGCTTACAGAACTACGCACTACATAATTCAGAATAAACTATATAATCAGTTCTTTAGAATGGCAAGGAAGTATGTGGTACGTGGTCAGGCTAGATTTCAAGGCATTTTCTGAGGTATAGTAGCTTCATGTCATGAATGTCTTTTAGAATAAGAAACCTGAGTCGGAGAGAACAAAGTTTCATCAGTATGTTCCACAAATTTTTGCTCAAATGTCATCTACTATTCTGACTGATTTAATTTTATTTCCTATCGAAACAGTTATGCATAGAATGTACATCCAAGGTTAGTGATTCTGCCTCCATAATATCTCTGCACATAGAGGTTCAGGTACGCGAACGCTGATTGACAATCTTGATACGGGACTTTCTGCAATTTCCATCACCGTAAAATATGAGGGCTTTGTTGACTGTTTCCGATCGATTCTTCGTCATGAAGGATTTTGGGCTCTTTACAGCGTATGGGTTTCGAATCGCTTTATAGATACGCTTTTGTCTTATATCTCCTGCATTTCTTTTTAAGGGCGTAGGCGCTTTGGCTCTAGAATATATGTTGCATTCATTGCTTCACCAAGCTGTAAGAGCATGCTTTGATAGAGGCTCAGAGGTGGGAAAGTTTTTTTGTTTGACATAGATTGATAGTGTACAGCATGGTATGAGTTTAGGTTCTTCGTAGAGCTACGGAAAGCAGTGCGAATGTAACACCAGTACCATCTGCTTACGGAGGTACGATTCAATATTTTCCACCTATTTTATTTACTCCCGCAGTATCGGCTGAAACTAATACAATGAAGCAGTGCATGAAAAATTGCATTTTTTCGGACCACGTCTGTTTATTTTCATTTTGGGTTTGAGACAGCATCGTCGAGTCTCTTTTCTGACAAACAGTTGAAATTTTTCCCGTTTCTCTAGCATTTACTGCACTTAATATTTGGCTGCTTTAGGACCACTCTCAGGACCGTTATCTGGACCATTCGCACAACCGGTTTCACCACCTGTCATTAGTCCAAGGAAGTGAGTTCAAAAGTTTACGCTATAATAGAACCGCACAAGTTTTACTTGATGTAAAGTCTTTTGATGGTTGTATTTGTCTGAGCTTGAGCTTGAAGAGGTGCGCGTTTATGAAAACCTTCGTAATCTTTCCGCGAATTATTTTTGCTTGTCGAAGCATTTTTCGTTGTCTATGACTGAGGACTCTTATCTCCGCTTATTTGTCGCTCGTTATGATCTGAGCGCACTATGCATGCAAGAATATCGGTTGCTCCGTCTCAACCGCTCTAAATGCCACCCGAGATGATAGTGTGAGCCTATGTGTGCATGTAAAGTGAAGTTTTGTGCAGGCAGCGTTCATCGTACACGCCTCCTCTTCGTGATCCTACGCAATTTCCCACGTTTGGTGAATCTGTGTCACAACTCGAGCCAGCATACGTTGCCGCACCAACACCGCCATTTCCGTTCCAGTCCGGACGACCGAATGTTTTCGGTAGTCCACCGAGGTGGGAGCTTTAGTAGCCTTCTGTTTCGTAAGTTTTTCGTACAGACAGTCTCCTTCAGTTATATTAATTATTTTCTCAACAATGTTTTTTTTATCATTTCCGTTTTGGTACATTCCTATAGGACTGCTTCCGTTTTTTTATAATTGTTTTTGTAGATATTATGTTTGCAGTTGGTACCCTGCTTTCTTTCGCGGCAGCTCTGTTGCCGAATTGATTGCTCGGCACGCATAGTACCCTGTGATTTCAGCTGTCATGTTTTTCAAGATACAAAAGCCCCTGAGAATTCATCACTTAACAGTCTGAGGACATGCTTGGAGTAAAAAAAAGCTAACAATGTCGTATTGCCGATGGTGGGCCTTCTTATTAAAGGCAGCGTCTAGGCAGATCTGGACCTATGGGGCTTTTACGTGGAAAGTACTTTTGGGGCCCTAACTAAGGCACTGCCCAAGCGGCAGCTCAGGTAGTGCTGTAATGGCTGAGATATTCCCCTCGAAACTGGCCCCCGCGAACGTATTCGCATGGATTCATGGCAGTTTCGCGCCAGGATCCACCCTTTGCGCCATGAATCCATGCGAAACACGGTCGCGGGGTCCAGTTTCGAGGGGAATATCTCAGCCATTACAGCACTACCTGAGCTGCCGCTTGGGCAATGCCTTAGTTAGGACCCCAAAAGTGCATTCCACGTAAAAGCCCCATAGGTCCAGATCTGCCTGGACGCTGCCTTTAAGTTTGTAGTAAACTAGTTATACCAGTCGAACATAGCAGAAGGATGATGCATCCATGCTGCGGGGATTGCCGAGAGTGAACGGACCACTTCTTAAGTTTAATCGAAGGAGATGAGTTTGATCTCATAGGTTTTGTTAAGTGGACGGTGGATGATCAGAAAAGGATGGAAAACGCTACAATGCAGCATTTCTTTTCATTTCTGCCGAAATCCTTGATTTTTGGCAAAAATCAAGGACTTCGGCAATTTTTAAGCATCCGTGAAGATATATTGTTATTTGCATGCGACTGCACAACACGCACCTCTGTTCGATGGCACGCCTTTGGTATGCATATACGAAAGATTAGGGAGGACCGTTGCGATAATGGGCTAACAAAGTTTCTTTCCTCAGATGACTCTAAGTTCCATTTTTCAGGACCATGGATCATCTTTCATCATCGTCAAGCTTTCTACCTCCGCTTTCACTTGCTACGGACAGGCCTGATGATCCTTTTAGCGGTTAGATTGTCCTTACTAGTCAGTAGTTACATAAGTCGCATAGAATCTATAGGGATTCCCATCTGTAATCTCTGCTTTGCTGCAGATTGTGATGTGATAGTAGACATTAGTAATTTTCTGTTTTTCTTTGCCATATTTGAACATAGTACTGGTAGTTCGCATTTATTCGAGCAACTCAAAGCTCAAGTAGGCGTCGTTATTCTTTTCACGACCTTCTAGATGAAAACTGCGGAAATCGTTTATATGACATTTCAGTACCACGTATCACACAGATAGGCCTGATTCCGAGCAATAGTTTCGTATAATCTGTACAAGAACACTATTTTCGTGGAGGAAAACTTTGAGGTTGCCCACTTGGAGAGTTCGACAGGATGATCAAGGCGCTTCTTGTGATATTCTCTTATTTTCGTGAGCGCATATTAGGTCTGGCTGATTAATTTTAGATGGCCGCGATTGATTGGAACTTCATCTGTATTATGAGTAAGAATAAAGATTTCATGTTTATTCTTCGTGCTGGTTTCGATAAGTTTTTGTATCCTATGCATATCTTAAACTCATTGTTCGACTGCATTGATTCCATAAAGTTTTGTTTCGTAGGTCTTTCTGCTGTCGCTGCTATCAGCGTACGTACTAGTCTATAGATGGGTGATAATTGGGGTAAGTTGCGTCAACTGCTTATTGTATGGTCGCCCTAGTTCCTATTCTAGATGATGATGACTTCGAGCCCGAAGTCGAATCGCTCGCACCTCATCCTCCACCAGTCGAGCATGCAGAGACACCAACACCACCATCACATGCGACCGAAAGCAAAGCTAAACCGAAGGACAAGGTGAGTTACGCCAATGCCCCAAACCATGTTTATCTCACCCTTTTCTAGCATGCATTCCCCAATATGGAGAGTTTTTCTCGAGAGTTAACGGCAGCGGAAAGGGAAGAAATGCAAAGGCGGCAAGATCTAGCTTTGACCATGGAGATGTTTGGAGGTGACTGTTCATCTTTCATTGTAGGCATTATGAAAAACTGTTACTCTTTAGAGCAGCCGATTACTGGAGATCAGCGTCCCTATAGCGATATTCTTTCAAAAGATGAGTTTGAAGATTGGGGATTGAAGGTAGGTGAATTTTATTGACTGTCGTCTTCACATCTCGAAAAGTGTCGGTATTTTGGTGAGTAGCTTTCATTTGGTTCTTTCTATATCTTTGATCTAGTATACTTTGTCTTTGATACTATTATATACATAGATGACCGTGTGCAGTTCTCTGAATAGGTTATCCTGCTAATTTTGGACTTTTCACATTCAACCAAAGGTGCATACGAGCATTTCATATTAGTCATCGATATTCCTGAACAATTATTGTTTTCGTAACAGCATCTTCACTTACCTCTATACATCATCTTATAGCTTTCTAATCGGAAAGTTGCAAAAAATTGATGAAATTTATAAAAGATTGGCCAATTTTTCAGGTATTGTCGTTATTTGGCAATATTTATTTACTCATTTATGAGTACACTTAAGGTGTGCCGTAAGGAAGAAAAGACAAAAACACTCAAGAAACAAATCAGAGAAAGCAGCCAGACCTCATACTAGTAAACAGAGAAGTTTACTGAGAAACAACAATGGAAAGTAAGACGAAGTCCATAGTCCCACACTAACTAGCCAAACAGATGAAGCAAGAAGCAGATGGCAGAAAGGATTCTAGAGAATCCTGCATTCTTCAATACCAAGATGAACCCAATTTTGGGTGTCAGCGAGCTCGCGGGTAAAACTAGCTAACTAGACCCCGATGAGAATTAATAGAAGAGGGCAGAAGAGGGCAAAATTCTATTTGTGGTAGTACTAGATACTTACCAGCTATGAAGTTGTAGTCAGGCAAAGAGATCTGACCTAGTGGGGACTTGGGCTCCGGTAGACTATGAGGTGTAGATACGATTCACTAAGAATGGGGCTGGTTGCTTAGGTCATTAGTGAAACAGTAATCAAGTTAGTAGCAAACTAGCACTGCAAAAAGCACTCTATCTCTGTTAAATCTACTATCCGGCATAAATGATATCAATGCAAATACAAATAAGCTACGTGCACAATTAAAGAAGAAGGCGTAGTCGTAATTGCAAGTCAGGACCGGCTGAAATTGAACGCAAATTGAACTGAGGGGGACGAACCAAATGCAGCAAAACCAAAGTGACCAGAAATAGTTGAATCAGGAATCCATATCAACCTGAAGCATTTCATTCAAATTCTTTTTTCTAAATTCACGTTTGAATGATTTACTATCTCTACAGGCTAGATATTCACGAGGTAATTTTTGGAGCAACTTTTGTACTCGATTAAAAAAATATTTGATTAATATATGATTATTATATGATTATATATAAAAATATATGATTTAACTGTTGCTGGATTTGGTGAGAATTCACTATTTTTTGTAGGTTGGTACTTTCTTAGCAACTCGGCATAAGGCTGCTCATTATGGTGATATGCTAAACAAGCTCATTCAGACCGTTGCAGAAAAGTGTGAGTTTTGAATTTTTCTCAGAATTGTGTCCAGTTTGTCTCAAGCCTGCTTTATAGTAGACGCACACGAGGTGCGGATAATGTCTAACCATCTTAAAACGATAGCCGACTCTAAGAAAGCTGCAGAAAAGGTATTTAATTATTTGTGTTGGTATTACAGCTATGTAGTTGGATCTTTTTCCAGACCAAGCCAGCCCAGCCAGCCCCTGGACAAAAGAAAGGTCCAAAACCTACTCTTAAGGTTAACAAAGCAAGTAATAAGCAGATATATAATGACCTCGATGGCGGTAAGTTAAAGAAAGCATTTTTTTCCATGCTGATAACACCTCACTTTTTTGCAGATGATTTTGATGACTATGAAGATTTTATGTAAACACATCAGTGGTTGATCTGTTTTATCATTTTTGGTCCCTCTTTTCGGTTGGATGGCACTTTATTTTTACCAGATGTTTACTGTTGTTGTTTATTCGTTGTACTTGATAAGCCATGATTTGAATACTATGTGGGGTTCGATGCCCGCTGATGTATTGCCGCCTTGTATGTGTATCATGGTAAAAATATCGGTGTTCCTACTGCATTGATTCTATAAATCTATGAGGTTAAACATTGTTTTGTTTATATGGAAGGATCCATGTCATTTTTTTCTGTCACACTACCACCGCACTATCAATCTGGTCCATGAATGGCATGACTTGACGAAATCAAATACCCACTTTTTACGGAAATTAGGAACTCACTTTTTCCTTCACTCAAGTTTTTCTTGATTGATCTATTACCAACAAAAGGTTTTTTGACTTAACCGTGTGTGATAGAGCATCTATTGAAATACACATTTCTGAGCAAAGAGAAGGGCTTTCGAGTCAGGAAAGTATGTTGATTGAAAGATGGACTTTTTTGATGATCAGATCTGGGGGTAATGACACATACTGAAGAAGGCTCGCGATCTCGGCGCGATCATTCGTCCGAGTTAGACTCTGAATCCATAAAACAGTTGCTCGAAGATGGAGAATTGGACACATTGCGCTGGGAGGACGATGACATATGTTGGTTTTTTTACAGTCAAATCTTCAGCAATAAGGAATGAGTATTTAAGCGCTACGATCGGCAGCATCCAACAGTCGCTTACCATACGACAAGCTAACCGCTCAAGAGTTGGTCCATTTTCCTGATGCTTCGGATTCAAAGGCATCTACGAACTTGTACCTGTTTATCAGAAACAAAATAGTCAGTAGTTCATTCAGAGAAATGTAAAATAACCAAGCTTCGTCTGCAAAAAAGTATTCCAGCTTCAACTGTGGCTTCTGGAACCTAATGTGGAGCTTACCAGTGAAGATGCTATCGATCAACTCCCAATTCCTTTCAATAGTACGTTGCACTTTATTTTCTTATTTGATTTTAGAACTGAAAGAATTCGCATTTTCACGGATCTTTTATAAATGCCATTGCCTGCCTGAACAACCTATTCAATTAGCCAAATTCTTCGAATGACTTAACTCTACAGATGTTCATCTCTCATAGTTCTCAGGAATTCTTTTTGTACGTTAGAGTGCATCTGACATTTTTTTGGGACATTCTGTACCGCCAGTGGGTGTCTTATTGCATTTTCTTACTGTCATTGAGTTCCATTTCCCCAGTTGGGGAATATCTGCTTGCCAAGTTTGTGTAAACCATCTATATGGGTTCATCTTACTCGATTACAATATTCAAAAAGAACCCTTTTTCACTTTCTAGGCGACCGTCGATTTGTTCGTCGAATTCATGGCTTTCTCCAAAGATATGGTTTTATCAATTATGGCAACTTCCATCGGTTAGCTTGTAAGTGTTTCGAAGAATACTCGCTGTTTTGCAGCCTTTTCTGCAAAACTTGTCGTTCCAGCAGCTCTTGTATTGACTTCGAAGCGAAAAAAAGTCATTATCATTGGTGCTGGTGCTGCTGGCATCGCTGCTATGAAACAATTACATTTTTTCGGCTTCGATGTAGTGTTACTGGAAGCAAGAGTGAGCCAAGCTTTTTACGCATTTGAAGCCCTACTCATGGTTCATTTATAGAAAAGGCTTGGTGGTCGCGTTCATACTTACCATCAAAAAGATTCGAGTGTAGTCGCCGATCTTGGAGCGATGGTTGTTACAGGAATTAGTGAGTCACATGCTCATTTCTTGTATCTACCAGGCAGTTTGGAATTTATCTTGTTCGAGATGGGAACCCTATTGTAACGATGATGCGACAGACCCAGTGTACTCCTGTTCGTATCACACCAGATTGTCCCATTTTTGATGAATATGGAAAACTAGTGGATCAAAGAAAAGACGAGCTGGTGGCTGAAGCCTTCAAGTGGGTTGCTGTGGTCATTCAGGCACCGCATATTAGTGTGAGCCAAATTATTCCAGAAAAATTGGCGATACTGCTTCGTACATTGCGCATACGTTGGGTGTGACTGAAGTGAATGGAAAGAACCTGAGCATAGCTGATGCTTACAATGAGATCCTTGAGTAGGTTTCTCCTGTAATTAACTTGATTTATTCATAGAATTTGACAATTATGAACCGTTTGTTTGTTTCGTAAAAAAGCCTTTAATTTAGAATGTTGGAATTACGAATGCAAAGGAGGCGTCTCAAGTACTGGCAGATCTATGAGGAGATACTAGAAAAGATGAAGCAGGTTCAATACGAGGTAAGCATGTTGCCTGGTTATCACATCATTTTTTTAATCTACTCGATCGCATTATGTTCTGAGCGTTCTATTTCTTATGCTATCTGCATAAATGGTAAAATGCTCTTTTAGATCACTTTGTATAAGAAAAGTGCAGAATTCTTGGCGGAAAAGTTGAAGTCCTGGGATGGAAGCTTGTATCACACACTAGATTCTGATTCGCGTCTTGAGCAAGATATACTTCGTCGCTGCTATAAGCGCGATCTTGGAGAGGCTATAAAGGTATTTTTGTCATCTTACCTTTTCATTACTTAGCTACAATTTGATTTTGCAGCGTTACGATGCAGCCCGCGATCGTTTCCGTAATTTGGAAACTACGCTACGTAATCTCAAGAAACAAGAACCCAGGTTGGAAGAAGATCTCTGTTCTGTGCTGTTAACTGACTTGAAAATTTCAGTGAAGTTTACATGAATCAGAGAGATCGACGTCTGTTAGATTTTCACTTCGCCAACTTAGAGTACGTCAGTGGAGGCACACTTGACAAGCTCTCTTTACAGCATTTTGATCAAGATGATGAATTCCAGTTTACTGGCTCGCATATGGCAAGTGAGTATATGAGATTTTTCAGTTTGCATTTTTTTGGTTGTTTGAGGTTTGTATGTTATCTCCGTTCTGGGAACCTCATATTGGAGTCGTCACCTGTACAGTCGTGACTTTTTCTTGGAACTTTTCAGCATCATCTGTGATTATCATCTGATGCGCGTCAAAATTACCACTTTTCTAGTTCGCGATGGCTATGGTGATTTCTTGACGAGGTTGGTGACTAGCGATATTGCTAGTGATATCAAGCAGAATGCTGTTGTGGAGGAAATCACATACAATGAGAAAGGTACATCAATTATACTGCAATTATAGTCAAATAGGCTTGTCAGGCTTTTATTCCCTTTGCCTCAAGCCAGAAGTTCTAGGAGTCGAAGTAAAGTACAAAACAGACGAGATCACGGAGACTGTAGAAGGTGATGTATGTCTGTGCACTATACCGTTAGGGGTTTTGAAGCGCTCAGTGACTGGATGCTCGGATGCGCCCAAATTTGAGCCACCTTTGCCAGAGAATACTGTGAATGCTGTTCTCGAAATGGGTTTTGGCAACTTCAACAAGGTTCATTTCAAACTCGGAATATTTTCTTTGTAACATCGTAGCTGAAATCCTTGATTACAGGTTGTGCTGATCTTTTCCCGTCCATTCTGGGATGTGACGCAAAATTACTTTGGCCATCTCAACCATTCTAGGTCAGTAGCCACGCTGAATCGATTCTTCCGAAAAGTTTTTTTTGTAGGGCTTCTCGTGGAGAGATGTTCATGTTCACAGCGCTTAGCAAAGCTCCAGTGCTGATTGCGATGATGGCTGGAGAAGCAGCAAATTTGGAAGCTCCTAATGAGGTGCAGATTCATTTTTTTAATTTTCAATGTAAAGTATTTATTTTACTTTTTTGATTCAGGTGATCGTCCGGAAAGCTATGAATGTGCTGGCAAACATTTTTGGTTCCGCTTGCCCGAAGGGAGTAAGTGGATCTTGCTCTACTTTTGAAACTCCATTTTCCGTTCGGTATAAAACGATTGCTTTGCATTGCAGCCGGTTGAAGCTGTCATAACTCGATGGCATAAGGATCCATTCGCATGTGGAGCATACGCCTATATACCGTGTGGAAGTCATGGTAAGCTAGCTGGAGATGTTTTTTTTCGTTTCTTTTTTCCAAACAAGGGACACAAGTTAGATTTAGCCGCGCATTTTAGGTGATCTTTGCGACATACTAGCTGAACCTGTTCGTGCAAAGCTCGAAGACGGTTCATATAGTGGTAAAGAGCGCATATTTTTTGCTGGAGAGCACACGAGTGGACGCTACCCTGCGTCAGTCCAGGTAAGAATAAGTTCGTTTAATGCTACTCTTTTATTTGAATGTCATGTATGTTTGCATTTTGTCACGTATACCTGAAATGTCTCGTCTTGTGAATGTCTATCTTGCTGCTTAAGAAGAATAGCAAATAAAAAAAGGCATAAAGAAACATTTGCGCTGGTATGTACAATTATAGATGACAAGACTAGATTGTTCGCTCATTCATTTGTTGCTCTGTACTTGCAATATATTACCATTCAAGTCTGCTCTAGATATCTATGTGAAAATTTTTTGTTAGTTTCCACATAGGGACATTTTGATAGAAAACTGTCATTGTTAGGGACATTTTGATAAAAAACTGTCATTGTTACTGTCATTTTGGAAATGGACAGATTTTTTGGAGGATAAGTTGTCTGGATGCAGAGCGAAATTCTTCTTACCTCTTATTGTACTTTTAAATCCTGATATGATTGCCCAGCCAGCAATGATGTCTTTTGACACTTCCAACAACAAAAAATTGCAATGTCCCATGTTTTTTGAGCTTGTAACATCATGGCATTTTTGGACAGCAGAAAATGCAGCTAAATGCAACTAAAAATGCAAATCAACATTTTCTAAAGCAATTAGTATCTTTTTGGAGCTCCTTATGAGTTGTAGTTTTCATCTATAGATTTTCGATTAGCAGCTTCCTTAAGAAACCCAGGTATTCGATACTGACACCTGCGATCCCACGTCATCAACTATTCAAAAGATTTTTTCAAAGCAGTGTCTGTTAAAAACAAAATACGACGACAGCTTCATCATCTATCAAACAACACTGAGCATAGAATTCGCATGTTCTTTTTACTCTGTTTTTGAAATCTGTTTATTAAGTCGTTGCAAACTTTTTGTCATTTTTTGAAATGACCCGCAAACCCCACACTAAGAAGGATGAAAAAACACTTTTAGCTGTATCCTATGCAGAATTTTTTCCTCTTTCCAATTGCTGTATCCTCAGTGTGATTCTTGAGAGAGTGCTGAGATAATCGCTGAGAATTACAACCCTTCGTCTTCATGTCCAACTTTCGGGTTTTCAAAATTTCCTATTTAAGACTTTTGGGGGAGCTTTGATACAAACCTTTTGCTAACTAAAGCAATCTTTTGTAGCTCTGTGGCTTGTATTCCAGAATTTTTAAAATAGATCTTTTGAGGTAAGGAAATTTTGTACTTATTCTAAACCCGTAGAACATAAAATGGACAGTTCAGATTTCGATGCAACTTTGTCTCTTCTTTCCAAGAGTTATCTTTTCTTGGCGAGATATGCGAAACTTGCTCTCGAAATCGCAGTATTTCTCAATTTCATGAGCCATTGGTAAATCTGACTTACAAAATCTTCATATTTTGAGACGAAAATTGCTCATTTACTCCATAATGTAAGAAATAGTAATGATCGATATTCTAAAGATTTTATAGTGTTTGGTGCATTAATGTGCTCTGCGATTTTTCCAAAACTCGAGAATGTTGAAGAATTATGTAGCAAAATTCTGAATGAGTTGCTGAAAAAAGAAGACAAATTGCTTCAGTTGGCAGGGTTGCACTACGTGCTGGCTACTGTAGCTCAGTCTCAAAAAGTATTTCAGAAATTAGCGAATGGACACGGAATGGTTGTTTTAGCCATTATCTCAGCACTCTCGTAAAAAATCACAGTGAGAATATAGCAGCTGGAAGGAGGAAATATTTCTACATCGGATACATCTTGATGTGTTTGCTTATCTTTGTGTACGGGATTTTTCGGGCCAGTTATAAAATCGACAGAACTTTTGAACAGACCTAATTGTCAAAAGCCATGCATATTATCGCTTTACAGGACTCATCTTTTTCAACAGCCATAAAAGATCATTATTTGATCATAAGTATTCTGCTGTTTGGGCATTATGAAATTTGTAACAAATCATAGTGTGTCTTTCCCATTAACCGAATCTTCGCGTATTGCAATATTATTCGGAACTAGATAAGTTCAGCGCAAAATAAAAACATCCATTCAGCTAGAAGAAAATTGTGAATCATCAGGGTCTTATTTTTGAGCAGCCAGTTCAGACCAAAAAATTGTAATGTATCTCAATAATATGCTACAATGAGAGAATTTACGAGATGCTCGACGAAGTTTTTTTGAGAGGATTGTTGTATGAGTACTGGTTCTGAATGAGTCAGCTTCTCTATCAGATTTTGGTACCGCAATTTAGAATTGGGTACTTGCCGGTTCTTCAGTTGATGTTGATTTCAATTTTTGGAGATAAATAAGTGCATATGCAAATAGGATTAGAAGATTTTGCAACTTTTACAGTCTTTAAAATTCTGGGCTTTGGCTTGATCCAATAGCTCCTAAAAGTGATTATATCAAAGTCAAGAATCTCTCACAAGATGCCATGATTGCAGGCTGTTAGCAGGCCTCGACACGAAGTAGCTAGTTTGAATGCAAAAACGAAGTCCCCCTTGAGTTTTGCGGATTTTTACGAAGTCTCCTTTGAGCTTAGACCATAATCCCTAAAAAAAATCTCCAAAAACGAAACGTCGATCAAAAAGAAACGTCGCCGATTTCGTGTCTTTTCGGCCACAAAAACGAAACCCCCTTTGCTTTTTGTCCCAAAAACGATATCCAGCTTGCTTATAAGCCACCTGTGCCGAGCCCTGGCTGTTAGAACTTCAAGTGAACGGTGTCTGGGCAAAATGGATACAATCATTCGCCTCTAGGTGGTTCATAGATGTTACCATTTTAGGGCGCATGGCTGAGTGGTATCCGGGAAGCTGCCAGAATTGCCGATCTCTATTTGGGTTGTCCGTTCTCAGCATCAAGCGCTGCTGATCCAGAATGTGTCCTGCTCGATAGTGATGATGATGTGGAAATGGTGGATAATAGCGCTGACAGTAGCGTGGAACCTCCGGCTCCTGCCCCTGCCGAAGTACCCAATACCGAAGTATCCAGTGCTGAGGCGACGGGTAAGGAAAATGGCGGTTCACATTCGGCAGATGTAGAAATGGATAATGGTGAGCCTGAAAGCAAACGTGCCAAGACCGAAGAACCAAGCGAGTAAAGCATTATCTCGTTCTTTTGTCCGATTATGTATTTTTAGATCTCATAAGCCAAATTAGGCAAATGTAAGGTGCAAATTCGTTCCTTCTTTTCTTTTCGCCATTTATGTGACGGTCAATTAAGCAGTTATAGTGCGAAACTGCCATCGCGGCCCGTTTGTTTCGTTTTCTTTGTTCTCGCTAATATCTTTTGTGTTCGCTACATTCTTTGTACTCTTCACTTTCGATTTTGGCAAAAGTCCTTGACGACTGACCATTTCCTTTGATGTTGATTGACATTGCATTTGAGAGTAAATGTGGAATCTATCAAAAGCATAGAAAAGCGCAAGAGTAGGCAGTAAAACTGTCAGAGGAAAGAATTGCTTGAGTGATCGCCGTCTCTACAGACTACTGGTCCTTTTGCACATGCTATTGCATGCTACTTGAGGAAGAGTAGTCTGCAGAGGCGGCGTTAAACGCGAATTTGTCCCTTTACCTCAGAAAGAAAACGAGTGCATGTCCTGTGCCTTCATGTTTTTCTGGATCTTTGAAAGAAAAGAAAGTACCGCAATAAAATCTCATCAAAGAATTAAGGTCAAATACACCTTTGTTTGCGGAACAACCTCTCCCCCCCTCCTCCTCGCTCCCCCACCCTCGTAAATTTCAAAGAATTCGCCAAGTAAGCAACTATGACGTTGATGTTTCCTTAACACAACAAACGGATAGTGTTAAAGCGAGGTCACCCCGACGATGAAATGATCGCGATCGCCGGCGTGGATCATTGCATAAAGGATCAGAGTTCACCAAACATGGAATAGGAACACAACACATGCCTATGCATCATGTAGACACAAAACAAATCACAAGTACCCCCCCCCCCCTCCGCCCGCCAGACGAAGACGTAAATAAATTGCAAAAAGTTTAGTTTAATAAAAAAAAGTCTAGCCTATCAGTTTCTTTTGCAGTAAAATAAGGGCGTTACCGTTCCCCTCAGTCACGGAAAAGGTCAGCTGTATTTGGACGCAAACAACTTGCGCTTTGCTAGAAATAGCTTTATGATTTTTGATGAACATAGCAACGGGTACAGGCCCGTCGAACCAGTTCTTTGAGACAATGTTTTTATCATCGATCTTTCTGGAAACTAACACTGCCTGTTACTGGTCTATGATTTATGGTTATTAACAAGGAACTTACGTTGAAACTTTGATGAATCGAGAAGAGAAAATCTCAGTGAAATAGAACGTGCAACCATAGTTTCAAAAAATTCTGAACAACGAATAAAAGCACAATGTACAATCGTCCCATTCTAGTTGTAACTTTGTGTATTTGCACCACTTTTCAAATTTTGCAGTGGATCACGCCTGCGGCATTGAGGCAGTGTTATGATTGCAGAAACATCATAAAACAAAGGAATAGTACAAAATGGCATGGAGTAAAAACCATGCTTCCTATCTCGAGACCTTAGCTTGCAGATGCAAATTATGTAGTGCAATTGCACAAAGCATCCGCTGAAATAAGGACGACTCTGCCTTGGTGGTCATATCTAGCTGCATTCAATCAATAAAGATCGAATGTTCAATATCATGAAAATGAACGAATGATAAAATCAGCAAAAATAAACAGTGATTTTTGTATGGTTTTTCAATTTTATACTTTGTATAAATTACCTTAGGAAGAATCATGCGAAAAGGTAAACTTTTCGAGGCGAAGTCCAGAGTCCAAGGAAACGTAAGCGCTCATTCGAGTAACAAAAAGGAGATAAAGTGGAGGAGATTTGGACTTGTAACGGTTAAATCCAAAAAGTTGAACCTTTCAGAGAATCGAGGAAACCAATTTCTGTTGAGGGTTCAGGTAATTCTTATGGAGTTTTTTTTTTTCGTTTGGCAATTAGCTTAGTTTTGATTCTAAAAGTGACTTCTAGTGTCCGCTCATAAGTGCAAAATTTTCTTCTGTTCCGTGCGTTAAATTTTATCGCAACATCAAACTAGTATGGCGAGAAAACGCTTTTTCTTTTCTTGCATGAGCAATTATGTACTGGATTGTTACAACGATAAGTCAATAACATATTTGCTGATTCATGGAACTTGATATTGCTAATGATTTTTTCTGCTAAGTAGACAAATTTTGTCGTGGATCTATAATTTCTGTCATAAAAGAACACTTCAAAGATTCCGAATTTTTCCAGACCTTGTCAAACTTAATAAATTATTGTAAAAAAAGAATAAAGTCCATGAAGAAGGGAAGATTAATTTTCCGCATTTCAAACTTGGACCTCAAAACAAGTTTCCCGAATATATTGCACTTTTCATCAAGATTGTATTATCTCACAGCTCTCAATTTTCATTTGTTATGGAATAGACTTTGAAAAAGAAAGAAAAATGTTGAGCAAAATTTAAAAAAGAAAGCAGCAAACTAGTTTTGAATTGTTTCAGCCAAAAGAAAACAACTTTTTTCGAAATCAAGTTGGATATGACCAGGGCTCGGCAGGAAATGGCTTTCCGAATATGCGCAAAAATAAAATCCTCTCTGACTTTCGCAAAATTCTACGAAGCCTCATGTGACCCGAAATCGGAAATGTAACTAGAAAAAATCTAATAGTTGTGTTTTATTCAAAAGTAGAAACAATACTCCTTTGCTTTTTGTCTCGAAACTATAATCAGCTTGCTTATCAGCCACCTTGCCGAGCCCTGGCTTGGCCCCTTATCATAAAAAATTATGTTGAAAAATTTGATCCCCCTGTCTTCTTCCCTCACCCCGCGCTTATCTGAAGCTACTGTACAGCACTTTCGAGCAACATAACTATTTCCGTACCCGAGTAATGTTTGGTCAGCTCAGTACAATACGACCGAATGATCAATTGCTTTTTGCACACGTTGCTGTTGGTTTCCTCTTTGATGTTACGCAGTCGTGAGCACGAAAGGATTATACGTTGATGTGAATTCCAAGGCAACCACACAGTATACAATAGAATACACGCAAAATCGCAGAGGAATGGCAAAGTATCAGCGAGACGCAATCGACCGTGATACTCTTCTGTCTGGAGTTCAAAGAGTAACTTTTGTTGCTATTTCGGGGATTGAACGCATGAAAATAGAATATTTGTTCCATGAATTGTCACAAAGTATCAAAGCAAAAGGAAGGTCGATAGCAAAATGTTTTTCGCACCCCGTTCATTTCCACTCTGAAGCAATAGAAAAAAGTACAAGTTTTCCCAAAACTTCTTTATGGAAAATTTTGGCTAAGGAAAGTCCAAAGTACTACGCACGGAGAAGTGACCGCTAAGGCGATTTCGGAAACCGCAAAAAAGTGTGTTCTGAATTAGTGAACGAAGGGTAAAAAATAATTGTCTACTGTCTTGAATAGGCATTCGGATGTGGATCGTCAATCTGTCTGGTCAGTAGTGCAGGTCCCAAGAAATTTTTTAGGGGGAAGGAAGTGGGACAACGTTTTCTTTCTGGATGAGGAGATTTGTATAACTCAACTTTAAAGAACTCTTATGATTATCTCAGTTGCTTGCGAATAGAAACAATTCACCCAAATTTTTATGGCTCATACACCATAAATTACGATCATCTCTCTCCCCCCCCCTCCCACCTATCTGCCACTCACTACATACATTGTGTGAGAAGAGATTGAGACTTGAACAATTTGCTGTATGGGAAACATTGAAAAAAGGATCCTCTTCATCCTAATAGAAAAAGACATTCAAACATGAATTTTCAATTTTTATAGAGAACTTGAAAAGATAGAAGACCAACAGTGAGATCAAGCAAGCGATCACTGTAAGGCTCAATAGTCCATAGCTCTTGTCCCGCCTATAATCCGGTTATGTTCGGATCTCTTTCACCCCTATCAGACAGCCTCACTGCTCGTCAAAATCACTTACATTTAATAATTTTTCTAGGCTTTTTTAGAATATATGATTGAATGATAGACTTTGTAACGTGCTTCTAATCATTCAAATGTTTTGTGATGTGGCAAATTCATTTCAGATAAGCTCGAACTATATTTTTTGATAGTTTTGTTAAGTAATATGCCTTGATCTACCAGACATTAGGAAATAGAAAGGTCTGAGACTTTATGCTCTTCTTGAAAATGCAAAAATAAACAAAAAACGGACTAGCCAAGGCCTGCTCCTGCCCGCAAATAAGTAATTTCAACTCTTTTGTCACTAATTGCTTTCAGTACTAGAGTAGAAGGGTATATACGGCCAAGAAATTACTTCCCCGTTCTGGTCAGTTTTTATCTATTGATTTATTTATTTACTGAGGTGCACTGAAAATGGAAGAGATAGTTAGTCAGACACATACCAAGTGGTCACACTGCAGAAACAAAAGATAACGGGGAAGAGTATTTAAGATTCAAAAAACTTTTGACCCAAAAAATTGTGCAAGGCAGGAAATATTTCATAAACGTCATTTTCCTTTCGTTCTTCAGTTTTTCTGGCCCCTAGATTTTGTTGTTTCCTCCAAGCATTGTTTTGCAGTACTTTTGGAATGTCAATCAAATTATTGCATTATTAGTCTATTAGGAATTTTCTGAAGCAAATAACTCACCTGCAACATTCTTGGACAAAACCAAACAATCGAACTAAAAGATAACCTTGCCACTTATGTTCAGCCGAACGTTTTGCCGTTTTCATATGGCAAAGTTGTTTTGATTCAACATGAGTTGATGTCTCAACATTCGACCATAGTCTCGTCCTTCAGAGAAAGATTAATGCATTTGTTTTTGGGTAACCTGTCGTCTCCAGGTAAACTCAAAACTTTGCCATTACGACAGGTTTTCTCTACACAGAGCCATATAAGACAATTAGGATACCACAATGTCAATCATAAAATATTTCTCTACTTCAGAAACAATCTTTTAACTTGTGCGCGCAACTAACATTCTATTGTTCTACCTTTTATGTTCGAATCAATTACTTTATTTAGTTGTTATTGGTTTTTATGGTTGTAAGGGACTAAGAAATATGTTCATATGTTCTCACTGGACTATTGTCGGGAAACATTGTTTCCTATATGTCGGACATTTCAAAGAACAATAGTGACACTTCGAGAGAAAACTCGTTTCTCGGGCCTGGCATGGATGTTTTTTGCTAATAATTCAGCAAAAATGTGGTCATAACCTTGGAGAACATCTAATATTTCTTCGCACAAAGGCAAAAATATTGTGATGCATATAGAATTTTTCTGTTGGGTACGGGGAATTTTGAAAATTTTTCTGTGCTTTCTAAAAACTTCATATATGCGCCTGGTCAAGACTGCTGTTTCTTATTTTATAGTCTACAAAAACTCGATTTTTGTAGTTTTCCAGTCCTAAAACTCCAGATAAACAATAAACATAAACATTACAATCGATGTGTCGATGACTCAAACAAATTCAAGCGTCAAGGTTACTCCCCTCGGTTCTCGGCTAAGATAGGCGGGACTCGCAAGGGAGCGGAGACGCAGACATCGGACTGTTTCATCGGTTCTTCTGTATAAATACTCGACTCTGTCAGCTCGAAAGAAAGTGTCGACGACTGCCCAGATTGGTTTTCGTTTCCGTTTAGAATGATGTTCGTCGCTGTCGTCTTATTGGCCTCGCTAGCCACCATTACTCAAGCGCAGATGATTCGGCAATGTTCTTGTGCTGAAGTTGAACCATGTAAAAATCAAGCCACTGGAAGCATTATGCAATGTGCTGATCAGTGCCAGGTAAATTTTCTAAGCTTTTTTTCATCTATCTCTAATTTTTTCCCATTTTCAGAACCACATCTCAGCTCTAGGAGCTTCATATCCAGCACTGAGAAGATGTCTACAAGATAAGGAAGGTCTCATTAACAATGTAATTCAGTGCCAAACACAACAATTGGAAGGATCGTAAGTTTATCTGATGAATAATATAATATTCGCAACCTATGGAGTAGTTATGCGTCCACATATAGTCTATTGCTGGAGAAGGGCGTTGTCTATGTAAGTTGAGCAAACGCGAACGCGGCGCGAGAACAGCTGTCAACGCTGTGATTCGTCCGCGTTCAAGAGGCTTTGCTTACATGTGAGAACCATCTTTTTCTAGCAGTGGAATATAAAATTACTCAAATAACAGTAAAAAGATGTTTACTCTGTGTTTTTGGATGGGGGGGGGGGGGAGAGGGAAGATCTTTCTAAAAAGTCGTGATATCATTTTGCGCTATAGTCTGTATTCAAGGAAATGGACTGCAAATTTGAAAGCTACAAATCTCGAAACTCAAAATTCAGTTCTAAGTGATTGGAGGGGCTCAAAAAGTAGTCGAAAAATCAGTGCGTACCATAAATTCTCCAGAAACCTGGCTGGTTGAAATGGAAATCATAACTAGTTGATTGTCAGATAAAGCAGATGACAAAAAATCCCGAAAGCCCCTAATAAAGCCTCCTTCAGCCCTAATAGCTTTTTTCTACAGATGCCACAGAGGTGGAGGTGGTCAGGTGCCAAAACGATACCCAGAAACTTTGAAATTGGCATTCTATGCTGAGATCAACTCTATGCTAGCAAAATCAGGTTCGTCGCTTTTTACAAGATTTTCCAAGTGAAAAAATGCAAAAATATATTCTAGGAATCCAAGCAGAAGCTCGTGGATTCATGGCAGCGGGTAAGAAATTCGCCTCATGCATCATGAAATGTGTCGAGCGCGGATCTGGACAATGCATAAAGAAACTCAAGTAAGTTTTGCAGATAAGCCTAAGGGACCAGAATTTCTATGAAAACTATTATAGCTGTGGCTTGGCTCTTCCCCCCGATAATGTCATTGTCCAACAAGTAAAACAATGCGCAATTCGTAGCGGTTTCAATACACCCGGTATTCGCCAACTTTGCCACTGTGCTGCCGGCTCTGGCATTAAGTAAGCGAATTTTTACAATCAAATAATCAAAATGAAACTTCAATCTATTAAAATATTGCTCCATTTCAGAGGACTCGAACCCCTCTGCGAAAGAATCCAGATCTCATAAATCTCGAACGGATAAATTTTTTAATTGCTGAGAAGCAGTTTTTAAAAATTGCAACCCCAGCAAGCTATGTGTATCATTTTATTGTAGGATACGTGTACATTGTACATATGTTCCATGTAAAGAATAAAGAATGAAGCTTTCTAATTTTGCTGTTGTGTTGATCAGAATGTACAAGAGCGATTTTATGAGAAAAGTGATAGGACGGCTCAGTTTTTTTTCATGCATCACGTAATTCTAGAACTGAAATATGAAAATTTCAGACGAATAAATGAACCCTGAAAAAAGCAAGGAATACCCAATTCCAGTGGTGTTTGGAAGAACTGTAAATAAACAAAAGTTTTTCCTCTCCTCGTAATGATCAGGGGCTTCAAGTTGCGGTAAAATCATGTTTGAAATAATCTGGTTATTACTTTTAGGAAAAAACAAACAGATTTGCGTTCTTTTGGTTTTCCAAGAAAAAGCAATGTCTAGAATATTTTAGACTCAGCTACGTATAGACTAAAAATTTTTGCATGTGTGTCAATAAATATATGAGTCAAGGTTGGAGTTGTTCTGATGAAAATCCAAATCTAAACAACTTAAGTTCCCTGAAACTCTCATAATTGTAGAATAATTTTTGCTGCAGAAGATTCGCTGAAACATTTGTCATGGCCTAATACGCAGACACGGTGACGGTGTGACCAGCAAGGAATGAAAAAACCTTTTACGACGGTCTTGCCTTTTGAAAAGAAAACTCTTTTCTTTTTTTCACTGCCAAGTTCTTTTGATCTGACTTAATTTCCGCCAGAAAGAAATCGGAATTATTGGGGGCATAATTGAGAAAATGATGTTTTGCCAGAAAGTTGCTGTTCTCCAGACTTCCACTAAATTAATGGCTTCGCTCATCATCATCACACTTCTTTGCTGTATGGGCCAACAATGTCTAAAACCAGTCTTCATCACACAATTTCACTTAACCATCCACTAAAAATAGTATTTCGTGTTCTATGATAGCTTTCCAAGATTGTAGTAGACTGAAAGCCACATAATGATTAGTGTAAAAAGTGTAAACATTTTTCAGAAATGAGGGAAAAGAGTTGGTGAGACGAGGAAAGGGAAGAGGAGGGAGAAGTGCTGAAACAGAGTTGTATTGTCTTCCTATTGTCGCGAGAAGGGTTAGGAACTTCTGGCACCACCGAGTTCAGCAGCTACATGAGAACTTTACTCAAGCATTCTATTAGCATTCATCGTTGCAGCCAGTAATTAGATTGGGATAATGAACTTCCATTTCTTTCAAGCCCCCAGAATGAGGGCGCAAGCTCTGCAGCAAAATGATTCTTTGGAGAGTTTGTTGATTGTCAGGCCACTTTCTCCCTGACAACCCTCCACCCTGCCGCTGTATGCTAGTCCTACAACGGCTATGCGTCCAGATCCTGGGCCGGGTAGGGGAACAAACTCCGCCAGTTTTGAGCCCCCTCCGATGGCAACTGGTCCTTTTTTAGTGTTGTTGCATGTCGTTCAGGACCAGTAGTCCACGGAGGCGGCCAGAACTGGCGGAATTCCTTCCCCACCAAAAAGAAGATTTAAACCCAGCAGTATTTCCATGAGCAGCCTGATTCAAGGATTAAAAGGATATTACGGTGATGCTAAGATCGCTTCACGGGTGTTGAGCTATACTACGCTGCTGCAGTTGAGCAACAACATTTGCCGAGGTTGGTGCTGAGCATCACTATGTACTGCAGCTAACGTCATTATCCATTGTAGATGGTGTTAAGGAACACCACGCTGCTGCAGATGAGTGTCAGTATTTGTCGCGGATGGTGTTAAGCAACACCACGCTGCTGCAGCTGAGCACCAAGCCATGGGTGATATTGAGCTACACTGCTGCTGCAGTTGAACACAACATTTGCTATGGATGTTGTATGGCAACACTAGACTGCTGCAGCCGAGCACAAACATTTGCTGTGGATGGTGTTGAGCACCACTAGTATCTGCTGCAGCTAACGTCGTCATTATCTATTGTGAATGGTGTTGAAAAACACCAAGTTGTTGCAGTTCACACCAATATTTGCCGTGGATGGTGTTGAGCACCACTAGTATCTACTGCAGCTAACGTCGTCATTATCTATTGTGAATGGTGTCGAGAAACACCAAGCTGCTGCAGTTCACACCGACATTTGCCGTAGATGGTGTTGGCATCACTATCTACTGCAGCTAACGTCATTATCTATTGTGGGTAGTGTTGAGCAACACCACGCTGCTGCAGCGGAGCACCAAGCCATGGGTGGTATTGGGCTACACGGCTGCTGCAGTTGAACACTAACATCTGCCGTGGATGGTGAGCATCACTATCTCTTGCAGCTAACGTCATTATCTATAGTGAATGGTGTTGAGAGTTCGAGTTCGTGTTCGTTCGTGCTTCCGTGCTCAGGATTCGTGCTTCTGTGTCAAAGCATCAATGGCAATGCAGTGAATTGCGGTCGTATATCTGAGCAGAATCTTGACACATGGACTACGAACTGGGGAGCCGTACAGAAATTGCTTTTGGAGACAAACCGAGCTGTAGCATAAGCACGGGGGCTAAGAAATACAGTGCGTCTCAGCTATAAGACACTTCAAAAAGCTATACAGCTTTCCCATTGAGTATAGGTGGACCAATGCTCCAGTATTGTGATCTTACGGTAAGAAAGATGGCTGCGATTCTTGGAAGACCTAGATCTATCCGCAGAAATCAAGAAAAACATTTTCTAAGTCTCGTCTGTTTTGAACTGGACATTCTTCGTAGATTCGCATAACAGCCATCGGTACAAAAGAACGCACAACATCAAGAAGAACGCTGCTTTCAGCAATAAAATAGCGTAAGTTTCCCTATAGCCTAACAGCATCTTGTGTGCCTACTGATTATGTGCCAGTAGTCGTGCCAACTAAGTTCTTGGATGTACCTTATTAGACCCAACGTTTCGAAGGTCTTCTCCAGGGTCTTGCACCATGCAGCGAGTGACGTCCATCGATTTCCTATGTGCGGTCTCACTGCATGGTGGATACAAGAGCTCTTGAGAAGACGAAATGTTCAAAACGTTGGGTCTAATAAAGTATTCTCCAGGAAACCTGGTTGGCAAAATAATATCGCTGACGCAGACAATTGGCATAAAATACGAAAAACCTAGCGCTGATCCTCTTACTGACACCCGAAGATGCACTACTACGTTTTTACATAGCAGTAGATTATGCTCACAGTCACGCACAAGCACCGCCTTGCTTTGTCAACCTAGTGTGAAGCTTATGTGACCGTCAGCTGCGGTCCTGGCCTAAGTTTAGAGAATTCTAAAAATACTCGCACAACGTTTTTATGCAGGACGCCAGCTTCAGGTCTTGAAGGAGTGAGATGGATTTTTGTAGACGCATGAACAACATCAAATCGCATGTTGTGTAAAAATTCGTTGGACATGTACAACAAATTTCATGAGTGATAAAAGCTCACGGTGTCTCGACGTTATGATATGCATTTTCTTTTTTCTTAAAAATAGTTTAAAAAATATTGCAATTCATTATCAATAATCACAGTAATTCCAACAAAAACCCTCTTTTGTAAAAATTAAATATCTCAAAATGTGAAGGGTGTGTCATAGTTATGAAATACGTTGTATTCTCTAATCCCTTTATGTAGCTGTGTGAAGTGAATAGATCTGAGCAGGCTTGTGCTTTAGGATCTGCTGCCACTTTCGGTATTGCATCACCTTATCTTTGCTCAAGTGGTATGTCAAACAGCTATGGTAAAATGCAGTACAGTTTCCATCCTCAATTTTGTCAGACGTTCATAAAAAAATGGAATCTATTGGCAGAAAAATTATGTTGAACATTGCTACGATAGAAGACACAATAGCTCAAATATAAACTGTAAGGATCCATATATTCTGTAAAGAAATTGTTCTCCTACAGAGATTTTGCAAGATATCAGCCTGTAATGCAATTTTTTCATTTTTGACTTTTTGACACTGACAATAAGTTACATTCTTCTTACATAACTTCTTACACTAGGACGCTTCATATTTTTTTCTCATCTCCTACTAAGAACTCTTAAAAAATTAGAAACCCAACACTTTCGCAGCTGTCTTGGGAACTACCGATGATGGGCCGTCATTCGAAACCGGTTGTGTGTGATAATCCAAATATACACTTTAACTTTTTGTTTTCCTTCAATCTCATTCTAATCTCCATTGGCCGTATTCCTCAACGAACCCAAAGGATTCCGCTACCCAGTGGGTAAGCGAAAATAGTCTGGGTCGGATCGATGTCCACAAAAAGCATTACTGGGTACGCGAACCCACCAGCTTTGTGTTTACCGATCTCGTGGGTTAAGCCTACCTAGTGGTTTCCGGAACCAGTGGGTTCGTTGATGAATACGGCCACAGATTCACTCATTCTACTCGATACAGGTATTGATATATTCTTCAATAGGGAAAAGCAAGCTCTACAAGATGGCCTTCAAGCGTGTGCGTCAAGTCTGCTCCACATTGAGTTTGAAAGCCATAATATAAATAGTTCTCATTATCCGAGGGTCAACAAGGTCGAAGGTTCCAAAAATAAACGTGTTTGGATCTAAAAAAAACGCTGCGAACTCACAACTTGCTCATGCATATACCGTCCACATCAGACATTCATTACACATAATAACTGTTGTAATTTTTTCTGCCTAGAAACTGAGTAAACGAATGTCTGTTTTTAATGTAATGCTGTGCTATCAAACATGGTGATACTATACTACAAATTTTCGGTGGTGCAGACATAGTTTTTTAGTATTCTGGAATTTAGTTTTTGGAATCTAGTTTTTGAGACTATGAAACAATTAGCTCAAACTGTCATTTTTCGAGAACTAGCGCTTGTAGAGAGCTAAAAATTATTTCTATGCTTTGGTTTAAAGCTACAAAATTACCTTGTTTTGACAGCCTAACATTGCTTTGGCAAAAACGTGAAATCTTCGTTTCCTCAAATTCTAGTCAAGGAAAAGATACAGCAGCTGTGTATACGAATGTATGATCCGTGCAGTACACGCTTGAGGAAATCGGGAGTTTGCAGCTTTCTTTGGATGGGAAGTTTAGTTTTTGTTTTTTGGGAAATGAACTCATTCGATTCTAGCTTCAGACAGCAATGTTGATGCATACGCTTTAAGGCCATCTTC